TAATGTGGATGACATCTATTTATTATGATTGCTATTTAATTTAGATTAATTTTTTTCAGATAGAATTTGTGATAATATATTTGTGATAACAGATTATAGTTAGACAATAGGTCACATTCATTATATTACTAGTCACAATAGATCACAATTAACACACTTGGTCATATAGGGTCCCGATTAACATATTAATGGGTCACGAACTTTTGAATATAAACAGGTTTTGTCACAAAACATTCATTGTTGATGTGGTCACACGTGTCACTGTTAACACAAACTTGATTACATATAGTAACGGCTAAGACGGATCTGGTTACAGCCAATCATAATAAAAACAGATTTGATCACAATGAGTCATAGATAACATGGGCCTGATCACAAACAGTAACAACTTACATAGATTTATTCACATATTATCACATTTATTGCAATTAATCAGTACTCATTGAAGTTTAAAATTATTACTACGTATTCACTCATTTTTAATGGTTTATCCAATGCTCACTCATCCATCACCTATTAACTAACCGTTTAAAATTGTGGATAGAAAATCACACGTGACAAACGACAATCCTATGTGACGTGTTGACGGTATCAACCATGACCATGTCAACAAAAGCTCACCAACCAAACACGTTATTTACTTCCTTAATTGCAAATAAATTTGTGTCTTCGTGATCGATAAATAAGTTTGATCAATTAATTTGATAAACTGTGAAATGAGTTGTGATAAATTAATTAATTAATGTGTGATCGAGAAATAATTTACGATCAATTAATTTGATAATATGTAACCGTAAAATATGTTATAACTTATAAAATTTGTGATTATGATCTAGAAATAAGTTGTAAAGTATAAAATATGGCTTTGGTTAAAATAAGTTGTAGTCAGACAATAATAGGTCACATTGAATTCATTACAAATCACAAACATTCATTAAAAAGTTGAAGAAAAAGCCAGCTATCGGAATTGAACCAATGACCATCACATTATAAATGCGATGCTATAACCTTAGTGAAAACAAACCTAATCATAGAAAGTCACAAATAACGAAAATTTGGTCACAGAGAGTCATGGCTAACACATAAAAGGTCATAAGTAGTCACAATTAACTAAAACTAGGAACTAATCAAACAATGTTTCAGTACCTATCAAAAGCAAATAATAACAAATCAGGCTTGATTAATTTCACAAATAACAAAACGTTATCACGCCAATTGATTCAACGCAATATCCAAAAGAACCAGTAAAGTAAATAAAGTGGCATTGCCATTAAAGAAAAATTCATAAACATAAATCCAAATTAACCCCAAATAATCAATATCAGAGGTTTTTGTCCTACAATCACCATTTCAAAGGAAAAAGGTAATACACCAGGTAGAAGTGCACACTAAAATCTGCGTGTGTCATGCCACTGTCTATTTCGGGAACTCCACTGGTTGTTATTGCAGCTACTGTTCGTCTTCATTTTCTTGAATGCCTCAAAGCTAACCTAACAATCTTCATCAAAATCAACAGATTTAATCATCCCAAGGTTGTCTTGTTCAGTGCACCATTCATCGAAGAACGTAAGGATCTTGTTAAACTCGACAGATGAGATCAGTTCATTATGATTTTGGTCGTAGAGCTCGAACACCTCCTTAAGCTCCTTCTCTTCGTCGTCGTAAGAGGGAAAGGGATCTGTGTCGGCCTTGAAGAAGGAGGCAAACTCCTGGACATTGAAATGTATTTGTAAGTGTTATATTATAAATATACGTAATATATTATTATAACTTATCACCCGATTTTTGAAATATTTTTGTAGGTTTGTTAAATGTGAAATTGTATACTTAAAATATTGTAATTATGTATTTTTCCCATCTCTCAAAGGCATCACCTTTCTCAATTAATGCAATTTAGTCCTTGAGTCCATTTATTTGTGCATCCCATGTGCTCTTTACTTTTAATCCAAGTCCTTCAAATCCTATAGTGTAGAATTTGATTTCCAAATTTTCCATCCAATAGTAAATTTACTTTTCTTCCCTTTCCATTTGTTTCAAACGAATCCATAACTAAAAACAAAACAAAATTAACCCAAGTTAAGTCGAAGTTAACAATTTGACAATAATAAAAATTTAGTAATATGGCTAGAATAAGTGCAGAAAATGCACCTATCATAGCATGGATTATGACAGTCATTAGAGGCTTTTTTCTTGTGGAGAAGATATACTGTTGTAAAAGCTAAATGAAATTTTTGCGAGTTGATGCTTGGACTTGATAGTCGGTTTCTTATCTAACCTTATAGGGTTTGTCAATTTGTTTTATGAATATTCATTTTCAATGCAAGGCTCGAGCTCAAGCACGTTCCCTATAGCGCGATCGATCCCATAATCCAATTCCTGATAAGACACTTCATGGTTCACAAGCTTGAATCTTATTTAAAAAAAGGACTTGTCTCTAATAAATTTGAATAACTCACTAGACGTAGAACCACGTCACCATACAAATGAACCTTGGCAAGGGCGACCTCATTGTTCCTAAGCACAACTGGTGACGAAATGAGCTCGGTGACACAAGAAATCGCCATGGAATAGGTGGAGAAGGCATCTTGGACCGCAATGCCTATGGCTCGAACAGTGAGTTAGTGTGTGAAAGAGTGGTGGTTCGCAGTAGAGAAGTTAGGAATTGCGGTGAAGGAAGGAGCGGAGATGGAGGCAATGTAAGGGACAGTGAAAAAGAGTGGGGGATCTATTTTCTAGTTTCGATTTGCGGCGAGGGTGAGGAATTGGGACTGAGAGGGAGGTGGTGAAAGAAGAAGATGAATTTTCTTTTCTTTTTTGATTTTTTAATTTAATTTATTTGAAAATTTTATGTATTTTTCATAAGAAAAATTGGGACTATGATTGTAATTTTTTTCTTTTTTTCCTTTCTTTTTGTTTTATTTAAACAGAATGATATATTTTTCATTTTGTAATTTTTAATTGAGAATTGGATAAAAGTTGATGAAAATGACATTTTCCATAATGAAATGTGCAAATAGGGATGAAAATACAAAAATTTGAAACATGTGAATGTTTTACACATAAAGATTAAAAGTAAGGACGTTTTATGCTTTTCTTTCTCATTTTTACTGTTAGTTTTGATTTAAATGGAACACTTATGTTTTATATTAATGTTTGATCCCTAATTTGTAAAATATTTTTCTCAAACTCATTTTTAATCATATATTTTATGGGACTTACAATTTTCATGATTTATCAACTTTTATAGTCACATATTTTATCAATTTGTATCAAAATATACTAAAAATCTAATTTTTATCTAAATGAAACAGGGGCTAGGGAAAATTAATTTGTTCTTTAATCACATCCTAGAAATTTTTTGTAAAAATTAACTTTTAGTAAGAAAATAAATAAAATTGATCCAAAATGTATATCGAAATGGTTAACAATAATGGGGAAAAAAACTACTCAGAGAAGCCTTTGTGTAACTCATAAATATTTAAACAAGTCTATAATATTTTTCATTCATAAAACAATTTTTATAGAATAAAAGGATGTTATCGTTTATAAAATATCTATACGCACTAATGATTTAAATTTAAAGACATTGTTCAATAATTTGCCATATATATATAATACCAAATTGGTAAGAGTTGATTGGTCACTGGACTTATAGGCAGATTTTTATTTGAGTTAATGTCTCATTAGGGCCACTTAGATTGAGATTGCAATTTTAACGAGGTTACATAGCATTATTCTTTCTAGTTGGTTATCAAAGTTAGAGCATATTTGGTAGAGATTTTAATTCAATTAATATCAATTTTTTTATCGTTATTTTACTATTCCAGCCGTTATTTTTTAATTCTTCTCTCATAGGTAGGGCGCATTTTATCTCTAAAAATCAATAAATTAATTAATAAAATTCCTACCAAACAAGTACTTAATTTATTTAAAACTAATCATTCAAATTTAAGATTTGTTTCACATCAATCGCTAAATTTATTCTACATTAGTCATCCAATTATAAAATATCTCATTCATCACAAGTTTAGCCTTCCCATGCCCAAAAAATCATTCTATGGAAATTAGAGTCGCGTTGTAGGTTATTGGCACAATTTTTATCCAAAAGCTGCATCTTGTAACACTAATTCAATCCACCATGTATCATAGAGGATCAAGATAGAAAATTCAAATGAATTCTAGTTTTTCAAGCCTGTCTCTATTTAAGCATGCTTCTACATTATTTATCCATCACACGAGAATACTCTAACATCGACTCACATATGAGACTTTCGACTTTGATACTAACTGATATAGGATATTACTATTACTTCACTTAAAAGCTATAGCCCATTGCAGTAATACGATTTACCCTATATTATTCATAATCAAACTTGAAATCCACTAAATTTCAATCCACTGGGTCCATTTTCGTTTCAAGTATGCTCATAGGCAAGTCATCTCTTAGACTTGGCAAAATATATGGTTTGATACACAACAAATTTAGCCCATGTCTGTCTCCATTTAAAGCAAAATTTTTATTTTTATTTTTCATACTTATTTTTAATCACAATTCATGCAATAAAATATTTTGCATGTAAATCAAAAAATTTTCCTACTTTTTAGTCACGTTTAAAAAAAAAAAATACTATTCAAAACATTATTTTTCCCAATAATAATCATCAAACATGGGCTTAGTATTAATTTTTGAAAAAATGAATACAAGTGTACAAAACTTAAAAGCACGGCGTTTTGGAACAAATCAATTTATATAACCAAAAGTCTAGTGATCATCGAATTGAAATGCGCTTATTAATTAACATGACCAATCTACGCCATACCCATTTACTGGCGATTAAAATAAAATTTTCAATAAATTTTGATGAAAAAAATTGATGAAATATATATTAAAAAAATTATGAATCCTACAAAATATGTGATTAAAATTAATTATTGATTTAGACTTAAATTATAATTTAGATTTTAATCCCAACAAACAGGGCTTAAATTTGTCTGAAATGTGTGTCGCGATATTCCTCCCCCAAATGCCCAAATAACCCCAAACGCCACGGCTAACTCGGAATTCTAGGGTTTGCAGATTTTTCAGAATATTATAACCAAAAATGGCAGGTATAAACTCGAAGGAACCCAATACAGCCCCAAAACCCGATCGGTGGTACAATCTAACCCTAGGCTCCTCATTCAAGGATGACCATCCCTCTTCCAAGTTCTGTACTTTACGCTGTATGCCTATTCCCTTTCCTCTCTCATATGTACTTGTGTATATACATGGATTCATATGCAATTTGTTGTAGAGGACATTACATTTCTGTGTTGATTGGTTTAATTCCAGTAGCTGAATTAGGTTGCATTTTGTGATAATTGATTGAATTATAGTGATTAGGAGCAGGTTGTATTTTATTTATTTATTTTTTTTTTTCCATCTTTATGATGAAATTTCATGTTGTTTTTGTTTAACGGGCTGTGTTTGGTTGACGAAAAGAATTGAAGAGAGAAGGCAAATTAGTATTGCAGTGCTTTTTTCTTCCTGTTGTGTAATTGAGAACGTATTATTGAATTGAACGAGGACTGCTGACTGCCTGATGGCTTTCTTGTTTTTGCCCTTCTTAACTTGCTGGTTTTATTTCCAGAAGATAAGATTTCAAATGCAAGGGAAGCATGCTGTTTCAGTTTTTTCTTTTCATATTCTATGGTTTTTCATAAGTTTATGAATAGCTTCAACCTCATAACGAAAGGATTTAATGGATTAGCAAAATGTGAGTGTGAAACAGAGATAGATTTTGTAAATCAACAGACAAATGGTTTTTGAGATGAATGATGGAAAAATGAAGCAGCTCAAGTGTTCAATCACAAGTAATTCATTCATAATTTAGCATATTATCTGGATAAAAATGAGTTCTTTTGTCTCTAAATCTCAATACTATTAATTCCTTGAAGTGCTTCTTTTGTTCATTCGGAGGCATTTGTTTCGAATTGAATTCTCCACGAGAACCAAGCATGTGGAGAATTGCCTTTGGGTTTTCTATTTCTCCTTTCTTAAGTTCTGGATTGTATGTTTATAGCAGAAAATAAATGTCTCTCGCTAATTTATTTATTTATTTATATTTTTTCCCCAGATGAATTTAAGCCAGCTTCAATTGATAAGAACCAGCGCGGCACATTGCACAAAAGTAAGGATAATAAGGTTACTGTTGAGTTCCAAAACAATCAACCAGGGAAGCCCAAGGTGACATTTGAGGGCATTAGTGAAGATTACAAGGAAAATGATGCTGTTCTTTTCTTTGACGGCGAGTCTTTTCGGTTAGAGAGATTACACCGTGCTGTAAAGCGGTTGAGGCATAATCGAATGAAGGGTGAATCTATATCCACAGCAGCCGCATCAGCTGGACCCTCTGATGCAAATTCACCCCCAGTTGGGAAAGTGACTAAGTATCAGCCTTTGAACAAAGAGGCAATTCATGTGATGCCGGTGGGTTCTCTTTCTAGAACTAGTTTTTTTGTTTAATAGTGTATATAATTCTGGAATCCTATTTCGAACTTAGAAGTTAATTTTTGAAAAAATAAATAAAGGATCCTGGGATGTTGCATGTGCACAAAGATGATTTGATTTGACAGAATTCTTATCGCTTTTGAAGTCTTTGTTGCCTAAAGAGGGGCACTTTTAACAATCTAGATCTCAACATGTCTTCATTGCCTTTTGGATTCATTGTGCATGCATGTTTTCTTTTTCTCCCAACAACAACAAAATTGAAAAGAATTCTCTTCAGATTATATAGTTAGCATTCTCATTTGTGGTGGATCCAGGATTTTGAGTCAGCACCGTCGACCATAATAAAATATTAAGAGCCCATTTGGTGTCCTTTTTTTGAAAAAAAAAAAAATGCATTTTGGAATAGTGATTTGATGGAGAATGTGTGGTTAAAAATAAGGAAAAACTTTGAATTTGCATGCAATATTATTTTATTGAAAAATGTAAAGTTGAAAATAAGAGAAAGAAAAATGTATTTTGAAATAAATAGGAATCAAACAAGGCTGAAAATTTAAAATATAACAATTATTTTGTTCAAATTAAACATATATAATTCTCTTATAAGAATAAACCGTACTTACCAAATGACATTGTTGTCAAATTTTGTATATTCGAAGGAAGAGCACGGGTTCGAATCTGTACAATTGAATTAAAACTTAACATATTATTTTAAACTTAGTGTCAAACTTTAACAAGTGTTATAATGGTCAAGCTCTCAATAATTCTAACAAGAGCTCACACGTTCGAATCCCCTCTGATGCCCACTCTATTGCATTAATTTTGGTGAAAATTGTAGAAGCAAAAATATTGCACAATAAATTGGTGAGTAAGGGATTCGAACTTGGGACGTCCAATATGTACATGCAAACTCTAACCAACTTAGCTAGAAGATGTATGAAATTAAAATGAATTATCAGTAACATAAGCTAAAAAATTTATGTATTGTCAAAAAAATAAAAAATAAAATTGCCCCCAGTGGATCCAGCACGCGTTGCCGTGGGTGCTCGCTAGGTGCTGGATCCGCTGCTGATTCTCATTGCAAATCTTGGCTGCTTCTGATTGTCATACTAACATAGTCAACTTTTGTTTGTGTATGTGCAGGGTGAAGTTGAACGAATTGAAATTGGGGACTTCAACAGCTCAGGCATGACTTGCTTAATTTAGAATATTTAATGTATGCATTTGGACTTTTCCCATCTCACCTTGATCTAAATAAAATCCCCACATCTTGATTAAATGCTGCATTTTAGATTCACCGAATATTTAGAGAGAGAAAAGAAAAATAAATCAGAGAGAAAACTTAGTAACTAACCCTCTTTTCCCCGCTTTGCCCATTCCTTTCTAGAATAAAGGAATGGTTATCATATGCTCATGTCAAGGCAGAAAATGAAGCTAAACTTAAAAGAAAAGCCGTGGAAAGAAATGCAGGAGTTGTCCGAAAATACAGTTTTTTTAATTCATCCCATCTCTTTGCCTGTCGTTTGCTTGTCTTCTCTCAAATTCACTTCTGCATATTTAATTGGGTTTATCCTTAGAGATTACATGGTAGGACATCACTCAGTGTTGTTCTTTATGCAAGTTTCACAGCAATGTTTTTTTATTAGCGATAAGGAAAAATAAAGGCACTTGCAGATACCATGTTTTTGATATAGAGATTGATGTACCATCGAAATTATTTTATAATGTGCCCACAACTGTGACTAGTCATAGGTATTGAACCTACCACTTTCAAATGCAGTTTTAAGCTCTTTTCAGCTACAAATAAATTTTTCCTTAGCTGGCTTTGTTGCTGTTGCCTTTACTTTTTGCATTAATTTGTGTAATGTAAGAATGTGAAAGATGTATGGGTGACTTCACTCTAAATCTAGCGGAATTTTTACCCATGGTGCTGGGGAGTAATCCTATTCTCTAGTAATTAGAATTTTGCTAGATATTTATTAATAACTTCTCCAATTCTATTCGTATTGTTGCTTCTGGTACTTGAAATGATCTTATCCTATGGATGGAGTTGTTAATTTCAAAACACATGATTAATTTATTATGAGTTTGATTCATATCTTTTGCTCTAAGGAACAGAATCTATTAAAATCTGTGCATGAAAGAATCTACTAAAATCTGTGTATGCTTAATTTTGATTGCTATTAAGAACAGTAGGACATTTGTTGAAGTCATTTCTTTTGGGTCATTTCACTTGGTACCTTTTAGATTTTTTTGTTTTTGCTGCCTTGGGCAGAATTTGAAAAAAAACTATTTTTACAGTTGAAGTGATACATTTGCTTTACTTCCCTCTTTTTTTCTCGTCCTTCATCAGATGCTAAACCTAGAAATGGGAAGGCCCATGATTATCCACTAGCCGAAGAAAGCCCTTCAAATCCATCACCAGACCTTAAGAATGACGACCTGGAGGAGCAATTGGATCTATTGAATGATGATGACGATAACAACGTTGGAGCAGGAGCTAATGGAGGAAAGTTTGATGTCAAAGAATTCGACACCGGTGTTGATGTCAAAGAATTCGACACTGGTATTGATATAAACATACCGCATCAAACTGATACAGATGATGAGATTGCTGATGTTGATGCGAGTGATGATGAAGCTGACAAGGGTGGCCGAAATGCTGCAGAAGCCCTTAGAGCACAGGTCAATGCAGAAGGAGAAGACCAAACATCAAGCTCTAGTAGCAGTGGTACTGAGAGCAGTGGAAGCGGGAGTGGCAGTGGAAGCGGGAGTGGAAGTGGAAGTAGCAGTACTGATAGTGAGAGCAGTGATGGTGATTCTGTCAACTCTATCTGAAAATCGTAAGTTGTTCTGGCCACCTCGGATCAGACACCTCACCATCGTGAATTCACTATATGGATTATCATCCACTGTTAATTTTAGCAAGTTTTTCATGGTTGGTACGTCGCTGGCACAATTGTTATATTTTATGCCTACACTTGAGGATGATAATCCTTGGTAGAGTGCTCTGCTAAGCTTTTTTCCTAGTTCTGATGTAAAATTTATGCAATTAATAATATATCTATGGTTCGAAAAGGCGAAATGGATTTGTCAAACCATTTTATTAATTTAACTATGTTAAAGACTTTTGTACCAGCACACTTTTGATACTGATTTCATGGTCATTTTGAAGTTAGCAAGATATGTTCAGCCATATCATTCTGCGTACAATTTACGTGTTCTTGCGTCTATTTTACTTGGGCAATATTATTTAGAATTATGCTGATTTTATAGAAGGTAGCGCCAAAGCAATGCCAGAAGATAATTTGGGGGGAAATGATTTGACGAAAAAGCTAATTTTATTTTAAATTGACAAATGATAAGAATGTCGTAGACATTATGTAAAACTTATGTCAACCTTGATAGACATGTAACATGATCTTATTATTTATAGTTGCTTGGAAAGTGGCATGACCATTTAACACAAGGACGAAAGGGCACAATTATGTCTACTTCGCCCCTGTAAAAAGTTTGTACAGTTTGAAAAAGGGTTTTGATTGATCAAAAAGAAGAATCTACTTCAATCAATATATGCTTTGACACAGTCATACATAACATAGAAATCACACTTAACAAGTGCTGCTGTGAAATTGATTGTAAAAGAGAGGAAATCGGCCAAATTAAAATTATCCTACGAGAAGTTAAAAATGGGAGCGTATGGATTAGTGCCGATCAATATGGAAATTTGGAATTATTACCCTATGCTCATTCTATATTTTCTCCTTGGTCAACGATAGTAGTCACAATGCAAATAATTTACGCAGTTTCAACATCTATTTGGCAACGAAATAAAAGAAAAGAAAAGAATGGGCAACGAAATAAAAGAAATCTCATGTGTTTTATAATTATAGGAACTGATTCTATATTCAATACGGGGCTCAATGGGACCCTTTTACAAATAATCTCTCATGGATTTATTGATGCTACACTTTTTTCTTGGCAAGAACGTCTTATTTATCTTGACTTACAAGACACAGATGAACAATATAAATGAATATAAAAAAGTTAAAATTTTATTAATTATGTTGTTCAACCCTATTCAGTACCATGTACAGCATTCGATAGGATTGTGATCTAGAGTAGACTGACTCCTTATACACAAGCATAATGGATATGCAAAAAGAAAAACTACCATATAACTGAGGATAGAAATATCAGATTATTGATTTTGTTCATAAGAATTTTAGATCTTCCCATTCAACTCGAAGATAGAAGAATCAGTTTTCATTAATAAAACTCAAAAAGAAGTAAAAAAGCAAAAACTAGTCACTGTTTTGAAAATGATAGTTTCTTTATATTCAGATATTGCTTAACTACACAAAGAAAAGAATTGCTCAGCTATTCAATGTTACAGCGTGTACAACAAATATCCACCACGGGCCTCATATAGGCGCTGGTGCTTCCTCTTCCTTTTCCCTGCCTATGTCATCATCATTTCTTTTCCCACTGCCATATCCATTTTCCGGAATCTTTTCCTCCGAAGGCAAATTCTTCCTGGCTTTCTTGCTGCCTTCTATTTTCCAAAGATCCCACACACGAGTTTTAGGTGGAGGTGATGCGTCTGCAATGGGTGCCACTAGTCCAGGTTTGCCATCATCGATAACAGCATCAACTAATCCATACTCTTTTGCTTCCCAAGCATTCATGAAATTATCACGATCAGTATCTACTTCAATCTGCAATGCAATAAAAAATAGCAAACAAAAAGTCAGAAATTCAAGAATTTGCCAATAACTTCTTCAAAAGAAATTGAAAAACAAAACTGAGGTCGGGATTTAGATAAACTATACCTTCTCTTCAGGCTTTCCTGTGATTCGAGATAGTATTTTGTTGAGCTTAACTTTGTGGTATGCCATCTCTCTGATGCGTATGCTCATCTCTGTTGCCTAGAAACAAATTATATCATCTAAGAATTAGTCTGTAGAAAATACTAACAGTCACATAGCAATATACCCCTACGGAATTCATCTTTTGGGAGTTGGTATGCTAAATTAACAACCATTTCAGCTGTGATAGATTTTCATTTCATTAGTCGTAGTCAGTATGTTATCGAAAGAGAAAAAGGTGCCTTACTAAAAACGCAAAAAGACCGATTGCAATGAATGAAAGAAAACTGTTATGGTAGAAATTGATTATGTAAATAGGAATTATAGGCTATCACCTTGTAAAATGTAGCTGCTCCTTTAATATGAAAACAAAACACTTATAGCATGTTTGATAAATAGGATTGGATGCATTGGAGAATACTAAGAAAGAAAAAGAAATTAAATTCTTGTTTATGATACTATCCAGTCTGTCCGATCTAGTATGCACTAGGTGGTTAAGAGAGTATATTCCATTATTCCAGATTATTTTGTATAAGTTGTTCGCAATGTAAGTTTATCTCTTAGGCGTTCAAGGTCTTATTGAAATTTTGGTGCTTGCTTAGTTTCAGTTTTAATGCTAGGACCACTATTACATTACCCAATTTTCTACTGGCTTAGTAGGTTAGAGTCTGTGTCAGGGAAGAAACAAACAGGGTATAGTAATCGATATGATGGTGATTAGTGTCGGAGGAAGAGCCAAACGGTGTTTAGTAATCGATATGACTGTGGTTGATTATCCTCAGCACATTTATGTATAAGTTTTCAGTTAGCCTGATTTCACTAAAATAGGGTTCTAGTTTAAGTCCCCGTTTGATCCCCATTACGTGGAAAAATTAATGGGGTGAATAATGTTTTTTTGAAAAATGAGTGGTTGAAAAAGAATGAAAAGTTTTCGATTTTCGTGTGGAATATTATTTTATGGAAGATTGTGTGGTTGAAAATATGAGAGAGAAAAATGAAATGTAATAGAATTTAATGTAATGGGGCTCAAACAGGGGCTAAGTCAAGGCAATGTAAAAGCTCTTTTTTCTTCATCTGCAAATAGACAATTATCCAGTCTTAGATTGGGTTATTACAAAAGGGTTCTTGACTATGGGTATGGTAGCCATACCTGAGACCCACTGTTTCATAAAGAAGTGGAAGAAACATAGAACTTTCAGAACATCAACTGATATGCTTGTCGGTTGGTATAAATAGAAGAAGTAGAGATGGGGGAAAGAATTTTGTAAAGTTTGAAAGCATGAAAGTTCCCAATAATTCAAGTCTACCGTTACATCATGTAGAAAAGGTCAGTTCGCATTCCTGGAATATCATAAGCAAGAAATAATGAGAATGTAAACCCATTAAAAGCCACCAATGTAGAGAAAAAAATAAAAAATAAAATAGAAGTACTTACTTTGCCCCCAGCAGTTCCAAGAGGTTGATGGATCATGACCCTTGAATTTGGCATGCAAAACCTTTTCCCTTTAGTACCAGCTGCAAGGAGGAATGCACCCATGGATGCAGCAAGGCCCAAGCAGATGGTTGAAACATCGGCCTTGCACAATTTCATGGCGTCATAAATGCCCATTCCTACAAGCAGCAATTCAAAGGATGGACTTCACTAATTGAAAATGCTAGCCTTTAAAGTTATAGGCTTGAAAGCTCAGAACATGCAACTTAGTTTAGCACATAAGACTTCAACATAGTACACATCTTAGCTAATCAAGTCCAAACCCTTAATGAAATAATATATAAATGAAATGCTGGCCTTAATTCTTTCAGTGTGTTAACTTGTCTTCTAGAGAAAGGTGGTGGAGATGAATAAAGATGAGACTAATGTAATTAACTAGTAGGTTATCCTCATTTATGAGTTCCAGAATAATGAGGAATATAGCCCCTTTTTGACAACCATTCTTTCATACCTCTTTTTTTCTGTCATAATCATTTTCAACCACATTCTCACAATAAAATATTCTTTACATAAACCCAAAACTTTTTCCTACTTTTCAACTACACATTCTCCAAAAATTTACCATTCAAAAACTCATTCTACCCAAAAAATGGCTGCCAAACAGGGGCACAAGCTTGTGTTTACATCTCTTCAGGAATTGGGTGGATTTATAGTTATATATCAACCACTAGAAACAACAAAGTACACATTTTAGCCATAATTAAATTAGACAATAACATAAAGAGTAAAGATCGTTTAGTAGTCCTTTGCAGGTTTAATTGATTAATTGCTGTGTGAATACTTCAATACTAGGAACGAATTAACAGTTCTCATTGGCTGAAGAGTAACACAAGCCACATTATACATTCTGTAAGTAAGAACATATTTAGGCCTTCTTATGAAATAAACACTTGTGAATTGCCCTTACAACAAGTGATTGTAAATATTGTTGTTTTCACCATTCAACAGAGTTATGATGGCTATAATGAAATGAGCAATTGAAAATATCTCCTGCATTCTGTTCTTGGTTAGAAGTTCAAATCTCAAGTGTAACAGAATAAGTTTTCACAACTTAACACAACTACAGTATATCCAAATATATGAGGAGAATTTTAAGCAAACTTGGTATGGCATCCAAACTGAACAGCACTAACAATTGACATACCAGCAGTAACAGAACCACCAGGTGAATTAATAAACAATCTGATATCTTTTTTCTGGTCTTCGGAATCAAGCAATAGCAGCTGGGTTATGATGAAATCCGCTGTCACATCATCTATCTGTCCATCACCATTTTGATTAATCAGAAAAGAAAATGTTAAGATCCAAACAACTCCTCTATAATAGAATTAATCCATTTGAATTTCACATCCCACTAGCTAAAGCTGAATAAAAAGTTAACAGTCTTGATAGCTCCATAAAAATTTACAAGGGGTGTTTATGTATTTATATTTGGCTTGAAAACCTTGTGAAACCGCTTAAAACTTAACAATCTACTCAAAATGTCAAACTTTTTACTATTACTAAAGAATTTCCCCCAATTAAATTGCTTGAAGGTATGCGTATGGATAATGATACTCAAATTAGAAACAGTTAGAACTCAATCTCTACATCATTAGGCCCAGAAAACAAAAGTAAATCAAAATATTAATAGAAAACCCAAATTAAAAACAATTAGCCATATGAAGGAAACGAGAAACCCTCGTCAAAAGTCAAAATCAAGAATTCCACTTCAGCTTTTTCATTAGTGAAACAAATAGACACGGACAGAACGACCAAATTGTAACAAAGTTAACAAAATGAAATTTACTGACCAACAAAGAATTTGATAAAGTTAATTTTTTCAACACACGATTAAGATCATTTTCCCCAAGTACGTTGCCTGAGAATAGACATATGGATAATGACGAGGACGGACAAATTAGAATCAATTAGAACTTGTGAAATCTCTACATCATTAGGCCAATAAAATAAAAGTAAATTGAAACATTAACAGAAAACCCAAATCAAGAACTATTAGCATAATAACGAAGTAAAAGTCCCATATCTAAAATCAAAATCTTGAGCGAACCTGAGCACCCAAGAAGATAATTCTCTGTCTAAGGAGCATATTAGTGGTGTCAAGCTCTTCGAATCTGGGTAGCCATGAAGGAGCTGCATAACTTGAGACATCCCAGTTACTAGATAAAGTCTGATTTCCCGAAGACGATCTCTGATTTACTGCTTTCACCGAAAAGTAGCCTTTTCGTGTTCTATGGATATTGATTGAAATGGGTGTACTTCTGGGCAATAATAAGCCGGAATTGGTGTCGGATTGTTTGAAAATGGTGGCCCTGTGGTAAAGGAAAGTTGAAGGTGCTGATGAGGCTGTAGTGAAGGCTAGAGAAGCCCGCTCCATTCCTCTTTCTCACGTTCAGTTTCTGTTTCGAATTTTGTTCACGGGAACAGATTGGGGAAGGGTATTCAACTAGGAGCTTGTTTGGCTAAGCTTAAAAGTATGTACTTTTAAACTACCTAAATAAGTAAAATTAATATATAAGTCTTTATTTTTTGCTAATTATCTTATTTATATCTATAATATTTTTTCCAATCTTATTATCAACATTTCAATAATTAACATATTTTGTCCATAATGATGGTTTTTGTAAAAGAAACCAATTAGAGAAATTTACCTACTAGTTATTAATCATTTATAAATGATTAAACAACATTTTATTCACGCATTCCGTGGATTTCATAATTATTACTAATTCGTCTATTATTTATTTATATTTATTTATAATTTAATTCGTTTATAAATAACTCCCAAACAACTTTTGTTTACCCCTCATATTTACACAAAAATAAGCAAAAAGTTACAAATCTAAAAGTTAGACAAAATTATTTTGAAGGTATGTTAACAATATTTATGGTGTGTTTGATCCCCATTCTTTTTTAAGAATATATTTTGAAATAGTAGATTGATGGAGAATGTATGGTTAAAATTTTTTTTTTTGATTTTTGTGTAATATTATTTTAATGAAGAATATGTGGTAGAATGAAGAAAATCTGTGGATTTCATTTAATTTAAGGAAAAATTATTGTGTTAAATATAATTATTCATCATTTTTTCATAAATAACTTATTTACAAAAATAATACTCTTATACTGGGAGTACAGTAAATAGATTAAAGACCTGTTTAAGTTACTTTCTTTGAAAAAATACATTTTTAAATATTAATTGACATCATTTTAATCATACATTTTTCAATAAAATAATATTACAAGTAAATTCAAAATTTTTCTTATATTATTCAAAAATGCATTTTTATTAAAATAATGTGGCTCAAACAAGAGCTAAGAATCCATTTGGGTGAGATTTACTTCAAAATTATTTTTAATTATACATTATATAGGAAATTCATAATTTATTCTTACTTTTTAATTGTATATTTTCAAAATAATAATAATAATAATAATTTTCACTTGAAAAAGTATATTTCCCAAACAAACCAAATAAGATAGAACAGTTTTTGCATGTTAAAAATTAAAAAGTATGAATATAAACTTCAAAGCGCTTGATAATAATTGAAAGCTTGTTTAATACGGCTAAAAAGTTAATTGAAATCAATTTTTTGATAGTTATTTTACTGTTACAACCATTATTGAAATTTCACTTTATTTCTAATTATCAAAATATCAATTATCAAACTTTACCACATTCCCATCAGCTTGTGTTTGTGAAATAGGGGAAAACTGGGCCATAGGATTTTCCTCATCCCAATTTCCTCTCTCTCTCGCGCGCTCCCTCTCTCCCTTTGTTCACTTGTGCATTCCGTGAGTAATTGTAGGTACTTTCTGTGTTCCCATTTTATGCTTATGCAGATTTTTCAACCTGGTTAATTTTAATAATTTTGCTGCTGTTGTTCCATTTTCACCTACGGATGCTAATCAGTTTTATGGGTTTTGAATTCATTGATTGAAGAATACAATTGAAACACCAACAACCTATCTAATGAGCTCCAGGAATACCCTTCTGCACATTATTTTCAAAAATTATAATTATGATATACTTTTTATTTGATCATAGAACAGGATATATCCTATGTGGGGGACTGTTCTTTTTTGCCATTTAATAACACTGAGTTAATTGTTCCTTGATCACCGAAGTTTAAAATGTTAAGTTTTGATCACTGAACTTATGTCAATGTCTTCAATTGCTTACCGAACTTAGGTCCATTTCTTAGATTGCTCACTGAAGTTTAAAATATTGAGTTTTGGCCACCGAACCTTGGAATATATCGTACGTTATTCACTAGCAAAACTGTTGAATTTTGTATAATATCGAGTTATAGTGAGTAATGTACAGTATTTTTTAAAATTCAGTGAGTAACGTACAATATTTTTCAAAATTTAGTGGTCAAAATTCGACATTTTAAATTTTAGTGAGTAATCGAATACATGAACCTAAATTCAGTTATCAAAACTCGACATTTTAAATTTCAATGACTAATAAAAAACATGGACATAAGTTCAGTGACCATTAGAACAATTAACTTAGTAGCACCCGGGATTGGAGAGTAGTAAAGAAGATAATAATTTAAAATCTTGTTAATATAATTTATACTGTCTAGTTGTTTCTGTGCCAAAACATGTCATTATTGTTTTCATTGTTATTCCCTCCTCATTTTTCATTAATAGTATGTTTTAATCATTTTATGTTTCATTTGGACGATGTGAATTCTTAATTTTTTTGCAATTTTAGTTCAGATAGAATATATGTTCATTGTAAATAACTTGCTTCTCTGTCAAAGTGGAGGGCAGTCAAGCTGATTGGGTCGGAAAATCCACCTTATTCCCAGGCTAACTCCCCGGATAATGCTGCTGATCCTTCCAGGTGATCGGAAAATAAAGAAATGGTTAAAAAAAAAAAAAGAAAAAGTTTTCGTAGGCGAATATAATTTCGCACGTGAAGGGTGATTTCTTGGTTTCGTCTTTCTAGACTGAAGTCTCATCCCAGATCCACAGCTTGTAAACTCCGTGCTGAGACCCTTCTTTCATCATCAAAAAATAAGAGATTTTATCAAAATTTATATATTTTCAAACTTAAGCCAGATTTTCGATGAGTTTTTTAACAGAATTGTGGCTTGATGTCTTAGTGAGTTAATCTTGAAGGGATTTCAAAGAAAGTAGCCACCAGTTGAGCCTATTAACTTTGTCCTTTACTGTATTATCCTATTGACTTGAAATTGATTAGTGAGTCTTAATATGTGCTCAAATTTGGCTCAGTTATGAATCAATGTGAACCTGAAGTTTAAGCAACTTGATTAATTATGCAATCCAATCTAGAGAAGCTCAACGTGACCATTTTGAAAATGTACGAGGCTAAAGTGAGATTCGTTTCAAACCACATAGATTGAATGAGCATTACTCAAATGATAAAATGAAATTGGCAACAAACTAATCGATTCATCTTTATTCTTTTCTGAGCCATCAGCAATGGCAGCGAAGCTACTAATTTCTCCTCTCTTCTCGTTGCACAGTTCCGACCCAAGACCAGCACCACATTCACCCATGGCTTGGACGTGGACGCTTGTCAACAAGAAACAGGAGCCTCATACTTCGAGTGTCGTCCTCCCTTGACAATGAGATTTTATCATCCACTTCTTCAGCTGTCCTGCATAATCTGCACCACTACCCGCAGTCTCTTACCTATTGGCAGATACTGCAGGAAACTCATTGGCCAGTTACTATACTTCTCTTGGTCTCTTTATTATTTCCGTTCCTGGCCTTTGGTCCCTTATCAAGTGCTCAGTTAAATCTAAGTTACCAAACTGTTATGTCCATTTTTACTCTGGACTATACCAAAATGCGATACAGGAAGCATGGTTGGCTAAGTTTAAAAAGTTCTACTCATAAGTTCTAAAGTAACTTTTTACATCGATCAAAGTGAGATATAAGTAAGCTATTCATTTTGACATAATGATAGATTTACTTACAAAATAAGTTTGTTTTTACTAAAGTAAGACAAAATCAAGTTATCCCATATTCGGAAATTCGACGTTACTTAAAAGTAACTTTTACGTATTTTAAGCTTTTCAAACATGCTTTTATAGGTTGAGAGTGATTTTATTTTCTTCATCTCTGATACGTTTTTTGATTTTGCTTTACTTGAAACTATCCAAATTGCCTTTTCATTCTAAGAACAGATTGTGCAAAAGACATTCATAGGAGAAGGGAAGGGGGAGAAGGCTCCTAACCAAGTGGAAGGAGAAATTCTTTCATTCTTTACTTGAAATAATTTTGTGGTGTTGGATAGAGGAGATTCGATAACGTAAGCCACTAATTCTATCACATGTTCCTTAAAAGTAGTGTTTGATAACAAAATCTCTTTATGCAACAACCTTGCATGCGGTAAATTTCAGAATTGTAACGTTTTCACATCTGAAGAATTTCAATGTCAATATTTAGTTCAACTAGATGAAATATGACCAAGGGTTAATGAGAACTTGCAGCACCATAAATTCTCATGCTCATATACTTCAATTGATATTTTCCTTCTCAGCTTTTGTAATTGGTAAATAGCATGCTTATCATCATGGTTTATGTTAATTTATAGCTTAGGAGAAGTTTTCAAGTTCTTCCATGTATAAGAACATCCAAAAAGCCACTTTTCCCGGATGCTCTTCTTTTAGAAAAGTGATGGCTAATTCTTCTATTACTGTTGGTTATGCTCAACCAGTACCAATGGGTTGGTTGTCTTTCATAATCACTTAACTGATTGCAGATCCAAATGGTAGTATACACTTATTCTCCAACTATGGATTGCCCTAAACCGTTTTCTCTTAGACATACAAAAATTGTAAGATAGCCATGGTAAAATTTAGTTTTCTTCATAGTGAAAAACCTGCCATTATAAAACTCTGTTTTCTTGCATGTTTCTGATATTTCGTTTTGCTTATTTTTATAACATGTTTCTATTTACTTTACGTTTGAAGGTACTATGGTTCCAAGCCGTGGCCAAGCAGCATTGCTCACTTTTTGTGCCAGCACAAGTCTGGCAAGTGTTGCCCTTGTTTTGACAATTACTCTTCCAGACATAGGAAACAATTGGTTCTGGTTGACTATATTAAGGTCCTGTTTGACCCACATTCTTTCCAAAAAATACATTCTTAAGTAGTGGTTTGATATCATTTTAACCACATATTCTTCAATAAAATAATATTAAACACAAATTCTGAACTTTTCCTTATTTTTAACTACATATTTTTCATCAATACACTATTCAAAAATGCATTTTATAGAAATAATGTGGCTCAAACAAGGGCTAAGTCATCTAGCGTTAGTTATTTCCTCTTGAAACCGAGACTACATTGTCTAACATGTAAAATGGATTTGGGGAGTGTATTATTGGATGAAAGCATCTAGAAAGGAGCGGATCAAGGTCAAAATGATAGTAGGAGATGATGGAACCCTGTCGGAGATAATTGTACAAGGTGATGACCAACAAGTGGAGCAAATGAGAAAGGAGCTCCAGTTCAGTGAAAAAGGCATGGTTTATGTGAAGGGCATTTTTGAAAGCTGAAATTAGATGTCATCTCATGTCTTAGGTTGTTCTTTGTTTTGATTTCTCATAAGAAAGTTTTGATGTGTAATTTGTGTATAAATATGTATGTCACTAATGTTCTATTTAGAACGAGCACAACATGAATTCTTATACACATTTCATTGTTGTGGTTTTGAACTAGTTTTCAATGTATCATGTTTTTTAAATTTAGTTTTTTGTTTGGTAAAAATTAAAGTTTAGATTTTAATCTAAATCATAGTGAATAATTATTTTTAATCACATAGTTAGCCCCAGTTTGTTTCCTATTATTTGACAATTAAAATGAAAAATATGACTGTTATATATCACATCAAACTACTATATTTGAATTTCTATTTTTTGTGTGGGGCTCGTAACGATTATATTTTTTATTATCCTTTTTACATTAATGGAAAACAAACGGAGCTTTAATAACATCCGCAACTTCTTAATTATACATTTCATTATCATTTATCAAAATTTACTAAAAATTTAATTTTAAGTCTCCATATGTTTAGCTTACCCTTTTTTTTTTTTTTTTTTTTTGATGATCGTGGGTGTTCGAGCTAGTTAACGTGCACCTCAACTAATTTTACGGGGTCTTAAAGTTTACAATCGGATACTCACCTCAGTGATCTAAAGAGAATCGAATTGGTGACCATTGGAGAACAAATCTAAAATCTGACCACTGAATTACCTCTCAGGGTTACAAACTGATATATATAATGTGAGACTTAATTTTTTTTAGAAAATTTACTTTTTGAGTACAACTAATCTTGCATGAGAACTTCAAAGACATTGTTGAACAAAACACAATATTATAAGTGGAATGGACATTGATGTTATCTTTGATTAAAAGCCTTTACAAGAGATTTCCCTCAATTTTCTTCAAAACCAATATCTCAATTTATTTCTTTCCTTTCTATTTTCTAGGAAAAGTGATTGATAAATATATTCTTCATAGTTAAAACTTTGACCTTGAATGTTCTTGTGAAGACTTCCATTAGTCTTGATTTCTTTCGATAAATCTTAATTTAAATTCTATTTTTACTTTTGATTGAGTAGATTAATTAGGCTTGTGAGTTCGTAAGAATAAGAAAATAAACAGTGGTGAAAGAATGGGCTAAATCACAATGTTACAAATTTACTTCAATTGATTTTGAATTGTCATTCAAAAAGTATATTATTTTTTTGGAGGAATTTTGTGAATAGTAACGCCAAAATAAGTATAATGATGGTTTGTAAATCCGTGCCGAAAATTGGACAGAGTAACGGCAAAGAAAACACAAACAACAAGAAGAAGAAAGTAGGGACAAAGTCGAGGCAAGAGTTGGACTCTTTGTCCTTAAGTCGAATTTGCCCCGCAACGGTGCCTACGGATTTCGACAATCGACTCCCAAGATACAACGGCTACACTTGTGTTTGTAGCACTCCAAAACACAAGTACAACGAACCAAATTTAGGCTTATGTACTCCAAGGATGAAATGAAGGAAAATCAAAATAAATGAAATGATTTTGATTTTGGATAGAAGAGAGGATGAGAGATGTTTTGCATATCAAAATTGTAAGGAATAGGACACCCAAAGGGTCCTATTTATAAACCATGAAAGGGTGTGGACGAAATGGTTGAGGCCAAACCATGCACCCTTTCCAAACAATGCACCTTTATGAAAATGTGTCTATTCACTGGACAACCGTGCGACCTCGCACGGTTTTACTCAAAAAATCGGAATTGAATTTGACGTGTGATCGCGCGGTTTACCAACCATGCGGTCGCACGGTCAAATATTTTGACCTAATTTTCGTCCTTTTTCGTAATTTCTCATTCATCCGATATTGATTTTCGAAATGCCAAATATACCCTTCAATACATGCAGAGAAATCAAAATTCTCTTTGTGCGCCCCGAAGCGGCGAAGTGGCAAACAATTTTGCCTAAACGGATTGAGTCGAGCTTTTGAGTATTTGGCCGAAGTCGATATGAAATCACTTTAATCGATTTTCAATTTTCGATTTATTTAACCAATATCCAACAATTTTTAACATCCCAATAACACTTTTTAATATTCATTTCTTAGTCCAAACCAACCAAAAAACTAAAAACCAAGCACTTTTGTAAAATCACACAATTCCAAAAGAAATTTGCACCAAATAAAAAAGAAAAAGAAATTGCTAAGTTTCACGTGTTCACACGTGAGGATAAAGGGGCATCGGTTAAACCGGTCCGGTCGCGTATGCCCCCAATTTTTGTACCCCAAAAAGAAATATAACAAAAATTTCCCAAAGGTACAACCCTAGAAAGCGCGCACACAGGGAAGTTTGATCAATGGCGGAGAACTAGAAAAATTCTATCTCCATTTGCCGAGAATGGCGTCCCACATTCATTTCGCTACAGAGTCATCCAACTGATCTCAACTACAAATCCTCATGACAATGGTTTCGACTTTCGCACCTTGCACATTTTCAATTCTTTTCGTTTATTTCCATATATTTTACTATGAAATTGATGAATTTCCGAGAAAATGTACTTAATATCAATACGTATGAATTTCTGGATTATATCCTTGTATGAGAAGGGTAAGTTGGACAAACATAATTTTAACCAGGATTCAGGTTATGCTGTATTTGTAGCATTGTGATTGTTTTGACAAGTTAAGATTTTTTTGAGAGAAAAATGCCTTTTAAATTTGATCAAGGTCTTTGAATTCTGTATTGGTTAAATAGTAGTTGGCGAGTATAGCATGCAATAGCTTTGGCGATGAGTCGGGGAAGTTTCAGATAAAAATGCGCTATGTAAGGACGTTTTTGATCTTTCATTGGGATGTGGTACTTGGAGAAAATCTCCGGTTAAGTTTGGTAGCATGGTATTGTGATTAGAAATGATTGCAAAGTTTAATGATATCATGAAGTCCAAGACGACTGCCTCAACTGCCACACTAAGCGTCAATGTTGTCAATTAGCCTTAGTCCCTTGTTACGGAAAGTTGTGGGATTCACTGAGGCCGTTGTTTAACATACATCATTTGAAATATGCAAGAGATCAACAAAGGCCAGCAGTTGTTGCTTTTTCAGTGTCAGGTCTTGGTTATACTCTCCAATCAACAGAGCATCTTATAGTTAATCGCTGAAAAATAGACTTTGCAAGATAATGGGTTCAAGTTATGGAAGTAGTATGAAAAGTTGGAATTGCAGCAAATTGGTTGCTGCATTTTGTATGTTTGCTCTTTCATGGTCCTTGTTCTTTTATGTATCATACATGAATACACCTATATTGTCACCTTTATTAATGATGGCTGCTCCTTCAACAACCATGGAGCGTTTTGTAGAAATCTTATCTCATCAACTGTTGCTGCAGAAGTAGTGAACCCATTAACATGTCATTGTCCATTTAGAAAAAATCGAGTCCCTAACTTCCTATTGGTTCCTTATCAAAATTATGTGGGACTCGTATTTCTGTTTATCTGATTATAAATTGATACCGTCGGAAAATTATCTGTTCGGAATACATTCCGTATGTTTTGATTTTCTTTGCTTATTTAATAAGTAAACTGTATGGTGATCATTGTTTTATTTTTGAAATCTTAGGTACCCAGTGAAGAAGATATAGTGGTGGGAAAGAGAAAGGAGCAAGAGCATAGTGAGTCTGAAAGGAGTAGGAAAAAGAAGAGGAAGCAAGAGGCTGCACCTCGTCCAGCTTGCTCTTGGGTGCATTTTAGGTGACATTCAATATATATAAACTAGGATTTAATACGAAAAACATGCTGTTTTTATATATGCTTGTTTTATATTTGTCATAGTAACATTTTGTGGTAACATTATAGTCGAGAATTCATTAAGGAGTACACTGCTTCGCATCCTGAATCTTCTGGCTTAAAAGTCGTAAGCATCTTTTTCTTTATTTCTTATATTATCCATATAATTATTATTTAGGAAGTATGGTTAAACAAATGTAGATCAACAGAAATATTTACCTGTCATTTCAGGCCACAAAAGCTGCCTCAGATGCTTGGAAACTGATGAGCCCCGATGAAAAAGCCAAATACACTAATCGTGCCCGTGAGGTGTGGGATAAGTACTTGAGCACTACCCCTGCTCGTGTTGTTAAGCCGAGAAGACAGGTGTTTTCTTGTTCTAATTTTTGCTAGCTTTAGTGAATGAAGATGTTCATCTACCTTAGAATCTTAATTTACTGAAAATCGTATGATGCAGACCAAACTAGTTACAAGGTGCTCTCCTGGTCGTTTGCTCAATGTTTTGCAACGACTCACTCCTGACCAGAAGGATGCTGTAAAAAGCATGGGATTTGGAAGCATCCTTAATCTCAGATGCCGAACTCTGCGCCGAAGTTTATGTCTTTGGTTACTAGAGAGGTTTAACACTGTCCGGCGCAGTTTGGAAATTTGTGGTGAGCGCATTCCTTTGACTCCCCAGGATGTCGAACTTGTGATGGGATTGGCATCTAGTGGGAAGGATGTGGTGAATTCAGGACCTGATGATGTGATTACTGATTTGCGTAAGAAATACAATGCGACAAATCGTGGGATCTCGGTGCGTCTCTTGGAGGAGCGTTTATCAGTTCCAGAAGCTGGAGAGGATTTCAAAAGATCTTTCCTCCTTTATGTATTAGGTACTCTTTTATGCCCCACAGCAAGACTGGATGTTAGTCCGTCCTTCCTCCACTTCTTGACAAACATGGACGTTGTCCACCAGTATAACTGGGGAAAATTCTTACTGGACCGGCTAGTTCGGGAAGTAGCCCGCTTTCGTCAAGGGAAGCAACGAGCGGTTGGTGGTTGTCTTTTGTTTCTCCAGGTGAGTGTTAATGATAGGAAATGTCCCTATATTTCCTCAATTTATTTGCCTTTGACTATTATATTGTCTATAGCTCTTTTACTATGAGAGTGTTGCCGTTGGAGAACCATCTGAACTAGCCCCTGCTGTTTTTCCATGCTTATCCTCTTGGGGTGAGGAAGAAATCAGTGAGAGAGAAAAGCAAGAGCGAGAGCTCGGTGGTTATGGCTCTGGAGAGGTACAATTCTGTCTTGCTTCAAAACCTGACCACATTTTCAGATTATCCAAGTTTAAGTATTCTGTGCAGGTGGTTTGCAAGGAGAGAGGCCTTGGAATGGGACCACTGGGTTATAGGACCCAAGCTGACCGCGACCCACTGATAATAAGGTTACCTGGGGATGAGTATTGCCCTCAACTGGAGCAAGATTTGCATCAGGTCTTTATATTGAAACTTCTGTTCTTGCAGTGTGCTATTGGATTGTTTATTTGAGTAAATCTATTCCGTGCACCCTTCTTTAGGCATGGGGTTTCCATAGACAAACTTAAATACAGCAACTTATACATTCATTACAAAGTGACTCGCAAGAAACACAAATGATTGCTGTTTGTTCGACATTGTATTTATATTAGTTGTCAGGCTTTTGAGTGGCTCACAAGATAAGCCCGATTAGAGGTGTAACCTGGTCATCCGACACAATTTCGGTACAGGCACAGCCATGTCCTAGACTGGCACAATAAGGTATACGGTTTATGAAGGGTCAGCATTCATTGGCCCATGGTCCATGAAGGCTCACCCACATGGGCGTTTCTACATTTCCTGGGAAAGCCTAACAGCCGAAATTTTGGCTATTGGGTTTTATTTTTGATGTGTACCAACACATCAAGGTATATTAGGCCCATATGGGCCTTTCCAGATCTTCAATGAAAGGCTAGCGCCAAATGTGTGGCCAAAGTTTGGCAAGCTTTGTCTTTCTTTTTTCATTTTAAAATTCAATACAAGTTTCTTAAACAATAAGCCCAAGCAGGCCTGGCACGACCAACGTAGGATTTGTTTCCCGTGAACTTTATTTTTTTGGACTAGAGGAGGTGGGTGAATATAGAAATTCTAAGTAAATGGGTACATCTGCCATTGTTCTTACTAGACATAATCGGCTATAATTCGAATTTTATCATTTTCTTCTACCAGTTTTCTTCTTTATTAGAAATGTTGGTTACTCTGTATGTTTACATTGCAGGATGGTGAAGATCATCTTGAAGGGGGTATCATTACGGCAGAGGTAACTATTGATTTCATTATCATCTTTTAGATTCTATAAAATTATCTCCCATACAGCATGTAAAAAGCAGAATATGTCAACAATGGTATAACTAGAAACCTTCCACATTTACGAAGCATGGGGAAGTTTACACATGTTATGCATGAAGCTTCACAAAAAAGATGGTTGGAGTCCATATTATATGATTAAGTAGAATGTTCTGTAACAGTAAAAATAAAAGAATAATGCTATTCATAGTGAGAACTACCGTTAGTCGTCTTACTTGGCACGCATGTGTCAATTTGTTATTTGATGCATGATGCAATAAAAAAAATGCTACGCCTCTCTCTCAGATCTCGTTTTTATGACTTACGATATTTTTTGGTATCTCCTTTGTGTGTATTTTGTATTTTCATAATTGAAACTAGTGTAGTTATTAATGGTACTAAGCTCATCGATGAATTATTATACATCTTTAGGATGATATTCTCATCAGTGGAAATGAAGGCTGTGCTGTCTCTATGGATATTGAAATTGCTGATCCAGTTAGAGCACCATGTCGAAATGCTCAGTATGGATGTATAGAAATTGTGGACTGCACAAAGAGAAAAGAACACGAAGAGATCTGCATCTGGGCTCCCTGTGCTTGCCCTATTCGCAAATGCATATTCGTTGGCTCGTCTAAGCAGTTATCAGAGCACTTCAGCAGTAAACATTGGGATTCTGGGAGGCGATTTGAGTATAATAGTCCTTTGCCAGTTACCTTAAACAAGAACGAATCTAGCCTTGTTCTACAAGCAGAAAAAGATGGTATTCTCTTTCTTCTCAACAAAGGAACGGAGAGTATTGGGCATACAGTCATGATAACTTGCATCAGCCCGAGTTCGTCAAAAGAACAGTTTTTATATGATCTCGTGTCTGAAAGAGGAGATAGCTGTCTCAGATTGAAGTCGTATACTAATAATTACCCCGGTCGAGTTGAAGGATCTCCTCCTGTGGATTTCCTTCTGGTGCCATATGGTTTTATCAATTCGACTGGATCGTTAGATCTGGAGGTTTGCATATGGAACTCGACAGATTTAGGAGCCGATTGATCTGGAGGAGCTCGTCGTCTCTCCCTTTTAGGAAATGTATTTACTTGCTATGTGCACTCCTATCCAAGTTTGAAAGGTGGTGCGGGTGATTTAAGGGCTCTAATGCATACTGAATATTCAGAAGAGTAACAATTCACTGGAGAAGAAGGGTATTTTAACGTGAATTGTTTTTTTTTTTTTTTTTTTTTTTTTTTTTTTTTTTTTTTTTTTTTTTTTTTTTTTTTTTTTTTTTGGTGATTTTAAAGATCACTGATAAAAAAGCTTGTATGGCCAAAGTATTTTGACTATCTTCGCAATTGTTGCAATATAAATTCTATATTATCTTAGTAAATACTCTGTGTTTGGCAAGCTTAAAAGTAAATTAAACTTCTCTTGAAGTCTTTTATTTTAGAACATGTATGGATATGAATATGATCTGGTTATGTGCAAGTAAAATATATGAATAATGCTATTTGTATATTATCATTTACAATATCATTATTTACATAATCTTTTATGGATTGATGATATATCAAAAAGAAGGTAGGAAATCATCTGTTGGTAAACAAATTTGTGAGTGGTGATATATATTTAGCACAATCGTTTATTTTATAGTTGGTTGATCAAATTTTGACTCAATTATATCTTGTCATATCATTCGTTGGTAAATAAATTTGTAATTTATAATGTACATTTGGCACAATAATATAGTTATTGCAAATTAAATAACCAAAAAACATTACTTGTTAAATCAAAATTACTTATTTTTACAGTAATGTGGGGTTCATGTCACGAGTTTTTGGTTGACATGTATGAGTATTAGAACTATCGTGCACGTCCTAATCGTAATAATAGGACCCACTTAATGTTGTAAGAAAGACCAAAGAGTGCTATTCACAAGAATAGAGGTGTACAAGTGAGCCGAACTTATAATTTGATCATACCTCTACTTAGAACTATTTTTTTTTTTTTAATTGATCTTGTCAAGTCCAAGAATGAGTGGCTTAAAGAATCAACATAAAGGCCTAATTGCAAGGATTATATGCTATTTATAGTGCTTTTTGATTATGAATGTAAATAATCAATTCATGCGAATATATATAAATTCTTTTAATTGATAAGTTAATATGGAGATTATAAGAATAATAATTTTGAATCTTTGATACTAAATCAAAATTCAATTAGGTAGGTAGATCCGAGACCGAGAGTAGATTACTCTATGGACTATGGGGTCGAAAATCACAATTTTGGAAAACTTTAGGGGTCGTTTTGAACATAAAAAATATTTCAAGCCCTTCACAGTATTTAATTCCGAGATTTCATCTGTTTCACCCAGCCAGTCACTTTGCATTGAACAATGCTATCGTCTTCTCAAATTCTCCGGCGTTTCTGCTGCTTCACATCCGTCAATTCTTCTCCTTCTACGGCTGCTTATTCTCCAAATCTCACTTCGCGAAAGAAGCGTCTCGTATTTTTGGGATCCCCTCAGGTATACACGCGCTCGCGCTTTGTTAATGCACAAATACTGTTTTTAAGTAACTGGAATGGACAATTTCCAGGTTTCTGCCTCAGTTCTTGATGCTCTGTTCAATGCCTCTTCTGCTCCAGATTCATTATTCAAGGTACTAAATTCAGCACATTGTTTAATTTCTCTTACTATTTGTTATATTCGGGCGCCCAAAGTTTCAATTGTGAGCATGCTTGGCTAAGCTTAAAAAAGATTATTTAGGTAAATTTACATAAAACTAAAAGCAAATAATAAGTTCGCTCTTATTTTGATAGGTAAGTGTTCGCTCTTATTTTGATAGGTAAGTGTTACTTTCAGGAAAAAATGTCACCTTTTCCTTAAAAATGAGAAAAAAGGAAGTTATCAAAATCTGTTTGGGGCTACCAAAATTACTTTGAAGTTATGAGTAACTTCAATTTTTTAGGCTTAGCCAAACTTGCTCTTATGTATTGTAATAGCAATATAATTTTCTGTGGCAGTGAAGAATTAACTTCAAATGTGGACACATTTGCTCCATTTTGGTCTAGATAGTTGGGGAATGTGCAGATGAGAGTAAATCATTGGATTAGATGTAGCAATGAGAAGTAAATTGTTGTGCTCTGAAATAATCTATTCAATTGCAGCAATCAAACAATTGCCGTTACCTTTTTTTCTTTTTGGACTGCTTATGCCTTGATGACCAGAACTAATTTCAATAGGTAGTTCAAGCTGTGTTGAAAAGTCTTTATTTGTCTGCAGAAAAGAGATATAGATCTACATATACTTTGACTTCAAATTTCTCCTTTCACTACTCTCTCCTTTTGCTCTCTCTGATGCACTACATGCATATCATTTTTAACCCATGCATATCATATAGAACATAAATAAGTATTCTCGTATGGTGCAAATTTCAGTGTAGATGCTTAATTTTAAGAAAATCTTATCTACCTAAGAACTCTATTTTTCTCCAAGGTAAGTAGTAAGAGGTCATGACAATGGTTGCTAACCTATACGGTTCAGGTTGCTGCAATTGTTACCCAGCCGCCTTCAGAAAGAAATCGAGGCAGAAAAGTGTTGCCTTCTCCCGTTGCACAGCATGCTATGGACAAAGGTTTTCCACTTGATTTGATCTTGACACCTGTAAAAGCTGGTGAGGTAGACCATGGTCCTCGAGTAGTTCTTATGTCATTTTTCTAGCCCTTTACAACTTCTAGTCCTTACTTTCACTACTTCATTGCACTATTGTCTCATCACTATTCACTACATGTGCATAATGGAGAGTCATTACTTATAGGAGTGACTCAGTCAACTTAATTTGGAGGTTCTGTCTTAAAAAATACAAATTTCAAGGTATGAATTTGACTCCACTAATTTTGATTTCTTATACATAATTCATGGGGGGCAACCATGCAGGAAGCATTCCTGTCAGACTTTAAAGCTTTGGAGCCTGAACTTTGTATCACTGCTGCATATGGGAATATTTTACCCACGAAATTCCTGAAGATTCCATCAATGGGTCAGTCCAAAGATTTTAATTCTTTCAATCTTGAAATTGCTGGTATTTGTTCTCATATTTATATGGGAAGTTATTTAACCCAGTAGTCACACAATTGGAGGTATCATAGTAGAGGAGTTCTTTATGTCCAGCATTGTTGTTCAAACCACATTGTTCCATACTTCATATCTCTTCCTTATGAGAGAGGTAGAATCTCAGAGATATGATGCTGAAGTGCGAGAACTTTTACATTGTATCACAATTCATCAGTGACCTGCCAATTCTTCAAATATGGTCTTAGACACCTTTGATGATTACTGCTGGACAGAAGACAAACTTGTCCTTCTGTTCACCATTGTTGAGATGATTTGTGTCTCTTCTGTCTAGACTGATGTGGGCATTAATTGGCTTTGTGAATGATGGTTTTTCCATAATATGTTGTTTTAATCATTGAAATCTAGTATTGATGGTAGCTTCTTTTATTTTGGGGTATGTTAGATTGCTATGGTAAAATCTCAAACTAACGAAGAAAGAATGCTGGCTTTTCCATGTTATATGTACCTCTACTGTAACTGTCAAGTCTCATTATGTTTACCCTAACAGTTATTACAAAATTTAGTTAATATATGTGATTTGATATCTCTCCAACCACTATTTGTCTACTAATAATCATGTTGGTGATATTACTCTTCAGAGACTTAGAGCAAGTATAACATGCATTAGATTGCGGTACTATAATTAGTTGTAGAAACTAGGAAGATGAGCCTAATTTAAAGATAGAATTTTGTTCCTCTTAATGTAAAGGTTGGAGTGGTTCACTGTCATGTGATTTACAACTATATTGGTTGATAGGCTGATATGATAATCAAGCCCATTCTAGCTCAGAGGCTGGAATAAGCTATTTCAAATTTGGGTGGAATCTTGCAGGCACAGTCAACATACACCCAAGTTTGCTCCCTCTCTATCGTGGTGCCGCACCTGTTCAGAGAGCTCTACAGGTTCATACTCCTTCTAGCATAAGATATTGTTTGTATCTTCACTTATTGAATTCATTAGTTTCTAACATTCAGAGTATGAATTTTTTTGAACAGGACGGTGTGACAGAAACAGGAGTATCATTAGCCTATACGGTGCGCCAACTGGATGCTGGTCCTGTTATTTCTTATGAAAAAGTTGAAATTGATGATCAAATAAAGGTATTTACAGCGTGTATTATTTTTTTGCTTTTTTTTTTTTTCCCCTTCATGCATGCGTTATCTCACATAGGCTTCATAGTCAAGAAGCTCACATTACCTATTATTCTAGACTGACAAGGGTTTGAAATGGAAATTAGGGAGATGTCCGTTGGTGCTCAGTTAATACCTGGCGCGGCAATCCCATTAATATTCCAGTTAATATAATCTAACAGTTAGCGTTGTATTTAATATATTGCTTAATTTTTACCTGCATTTGTTGGATTACACTAGTATTTCTGACTAAGCTCTGGGTGAAACTTTTGCAGGCACCTGACTTACTTGAGTTACTGTTTGCTCGAGGTTCATTTTACTGTTTTCTTATCCTCTTTTAACTTTTGCATTAGTGTACAGTTTTATTCTTTTAGTTAAGAGCATTTTAATCATCTCTGTTTTATTTTGTATGGCTTGACTGCACAACGGAACTTTGTGCTGTGCTTAGCTAATTAATAATTGCACATGAGTGCTCTTGCAAGATTTGGGCGGTTACCTATATTAACCTCTATAAATTATAATGTTGGGACATGCAAAATCTATTAATCAAAAGATAATAATTTATAGAGTGTATTTATGATTCAATACACACATTTAACCAACCAAATACTAATTGGATTCAACTAATATAATCAATTAAACGAGCATTAATCAACTAAAATACATTAAATTAACAACAAAATTAAAATATTGTACTCACCTATTTAATTAAATAAAATTCATTGTTATTGTATTCATTAAATCTAATTATTCAACGTATCAGATTAAAAATAAACTCTATGTAAACAAACAAAAACTCTTGTACTTTGGAAATTTTGACGTTTTGCGTCGCTTAGTATAACCACCTCTTTCTACATGAGCCGAGAGATAAACGAATGGGTGAGTGTTGATATTGTACCTTAAATAACTTATGCCCAAGATCGAAGACTAAGGAAGGAGATCTGAAAGGAGTGCCATGCCACTAGCCTTCAAGTTAATATTCGCCCCGCAAAAACTCTAAAAAAAGACAAACAAAAAATTGAAAAAGAAAAAGGAAAATAAATACTGTTGAATTTTTTCAAAGGTCATCGCTGTAATTCCTTTTTATAGTGCATGTTGGATACTCGTTGCTATGCTCACATAATTCTTTATGCATTTCATCTGCTGTTTGGAGCACCTTCCAAAGGAGAAGCTATTGTAGATTGTCAAGTTGTGTTAGGAAGTACACAAAAAGATTGTGTTTATTTAAATAGAGTTTATCTTTAATCTAATATGCTGAATCATTTGATTTTATGAATACAATAAATAATGAATTTTATTTAATTAAATAGGCGAATACAATGATTTTAAGTTTTTACTTAATTAATGTATCTTTAGTTTATTAATGCTTATTTGACTTATTAAATTAGTAGATTACAATTTATATTTAGTTGGTTCAATGTGTGTGTATTAAATCATGAATGCATTTTATTAATAAATTGATAACTTTGCACGGTCCCAACATTATTAATTTATAGAGGTTACACTATATTTAGAAGCCAGTTTTCAAAAACCCTTGATTCATGGGATTACTTTTCAAATGCAAATCGATTATTCAAACAGCTCTTTTATTTACATAAATTTCTATGAGGCCAGGGACAGAGCCATGTAGGACGAAAAATAAATTTATATTGGGATGATACGTAGAAAAAAGATTCCATGAAAAAAAATAACTTTTTCACTAAAAAAACAGTTTGGCCTTGGGCAGGTCTGGGCCATGTATGAGGCCATGTTATACTTAAGTCTGATGCTGAATTCATGAATCTAAATCTTTATATACGCAAGGGGTATTCTCATCTTAATTCATTAGCATTTTACTATGAGTGAGCATCTAACAGTTACAAATTATGAGCATCCTATATTCACTCTGGTTACAGATGGCTGAATTTTTGCTTAAGTTAATGTTTCTAGATTGAAGAAGTTTTGAATTTTTGTAAATATTGGTGTATGTTCAATTACTGACTTTAGTCTTTTCTATTCTTGTAGAAGTTAATAAAAAAATCAATTTTGCTCATTAATATGCAAAGTTGTATGTTGATAGTCAACTATTTTTCTTAATTTTGATGTTAATAAGTGTAGGATCCAAACTCTTGATCCATGAGCTTCCTTCAATACTTGATGGTTCAGCTAGATCAAAAGCACAAGTACAAGATGACTCTAAAGCTACATTGGCTCCCAAGGTACGCTCTTTATCTTTGATCCAAAAGCTTAAGTAGTTACATAATGCCAAATAAATATAAGATATAAAAGAATCACATTCTATTTCTCACATTAAATCCTTACATGTGTACGTTTTTTAATAAATAGGCGGCGAGAAGATTTGAACCCAAATCCTTATATGTTGGTTAATGGTTTCATCTTTATTCGATGTAGGATTTATTCCTTAACAGTTATTTAATCATATCTGTTGACATCAGCCCATACATTTTTGAGATATGTCTTGGTTGAGGTGTTGGACTTGTGTACACCTTGATTCCATTTTATTCTGAGTTACTGGAAGATTCAATGTGAATTCATGATTACTTATTTGGGCACACTGTAGTTTCTGATGTAAACAGGTATTATTCAGAGATTTCTAAGCGAAGTTTTGAGAAAAGTAGTGCATTTGGAGGGTGGATACTTTCACCAGTGTCCTTTGAATTTGGGTTATTGGATCCCAAGCCATGGGAAAATCCCCACATATCTAATGCACTCCTTTCTCTATGAAAATTGCAGACTCTCAATCTCCATTGAGGTTGAGGAAGTTACATTCCACGCTAATTGTGGAATATTCCAGGAAGTGTACTGTATAACATTCAATGAACATCCAACATGAAGAATCGTGTAGGAGATAAACTCAGAACTAAATGAGCTGACATCTAAATAAATGAATGCACTGGATATTTTGTAGCTTACCCTAAACCGTACCTGAACTTCTAAATCAGCAACGATTCTTCTATTCCATTTGGTTTCCAAAGGCACCCCAAATTAGTTGCTTGTTCTGTCAATATAGTTATCTGGATGACTCCATTGTCTAAATATCTTCCAATACACACTTCAAAGTTCAATGGGACTTCAATGGCCATCACATTCCCTCTAAACCTGTAACCTTTGTAGTAGCTGATTGGTTTTTCTCAACAGATTATGTTGAAGGTTCAATGTTTACTGTTGCCTGGTCCCCGATTCTATCACTGATGTAAGAAAAACCCTAGGTTGATTGACACTTATGGAAACTGGTCTCCACCAGTTGCACTTTCCTCAGATTTAGTTGATGTTTTGAATCAATGTACTGTAACTATGGTTAAACATCGTATATACTCGTGTCTACTAAGTTGCTTCTATGGGCTCAAATTATTAGTAATTTTATTTTAACTTTTTTATAAATTTTACTTGGTGCGAAGGGTGGATTAGTTAACCCTTCCATCATCTATTCATCAATTTATTGGTCATTTTTTGCTTGTTAATTCTTGCAGATAACTCCAGAAGAGTCGTGGATGTCCTTCACCGACGAAGCCACAGTCCTTCACAACAAGGTATTATTTCCATTCCCATTTTGATCTGCAATAATAGATTTATGACATACAACCTTTCAGGTTCGTGCATTTGCAGGGTGGCCTGGAACTCGAGCTAAAGTTTCAGTACACGATCCTAGAAGTGGTCAGCACAACATTATAGAGCTGAAAATCATCACTACAAGGGTTTATCAAAACAATAAAATTGAGGGTGGCGAAGCAGATGATGTGTTCTTTACTCAAGGCTCATTGGTATTCCCGTGTGGTAGGGGCACAGCACTGGAGGCAAGTGGGACTATCTCCTCTTCGGTGCATATTGCATTTTTTTCATGATAAAATATTGAGAGCCATGATGTGCTTCGGCACAAGTTTTTAACGTACACAGTCTGGTAACACCTACAGGTATTGGAAATCCAGCTTCCAGGTAAAAAAGTTGTGAATGCAACGGCATTTTGGAATGGTTTGAGAGGTCAAAAACTAAAGAAGTTGTAATCACTGACATTGCTTCAACAAACTGATGCTAAACTAGGTAAGAAGAATCCTTCTTTCTCAATCTCTTTCCACATCTGTGTTTGAATTGCTTCAAATTTTCAGTTTTCCGATATTACTTCTCTTAACTACTACTACTACTAGTACTACTACTAATAACAAGTCTTGTTCCTGATAAATTTGGAATCAGCTAAATGAATCCTTTTATTTTTGCGACTCCTCTTTGTTTATTGCTAAATGTACTAGAAGATCCATTGAAACTCTAGATTCTTAGCAACCACGGGATGCTATTATCTTCTTTTCACCTAATTTATTCTACTGAGATCATACTAGAATGCATTCCTGCTTGTTTGGGCAGGCATTTTCCAGCCACTTATCCGAGCTGACTTTACAAAAGTTTAAATGCTTGTAGCCACCCGTGACGAACACCTTGGAGACACAAGCGCCATCATCTGATGATTATTTTTCACTTGGTGTTCTTTCCAGTTAAATGGAGGTATCGAAACAGAACATTCTTGAAATGGTTCACAACTTGGTTTTCTTTTATTACTTGTTTTATGTAAAACTGAGAAAATATTACACACTTATTCTTCTATGATAAAAGGAGGTGAAGATATGTATGGTTGCTGAAAGCAGACTAGCCAACATTGGCTTGTTTATATTTGTTTCTTTGCCTGGAAAATGTTTTTATTTAAGTAACTTATTATCGATTTATTTACTTATCAAGTAAATTTAACTTTCACTAGACCATGCACAAGTTGTACTTTACTACTTTTGAGCTGTGACAGGATGTTGTTCATTGCATGGCCCAGCCATGGATGGCTCACACGGTCTAAAAAAGCTAGCCAGAAAAAAAGCTTTTCTGTACTTGGTAGTCAACAAAGAAGTTGAATATTGGAGGAATAAGATCGGAGTGGCACCACATCAACACTAAATAATCCGATAAAAAATATTCTAAACTTCAAAAATTACGGTCTGACCAAATTTCTATTGCACGCTCTTTTATTTAAAAATTGAACCACAATTAAAAGAAATTGAGAACTGAATGACATTCACTTAGAGCCATTTTGGCGTAGTTTTTGAAAAGTTAGAAGGGAGTTTTTGAAATTCAAAAACAACTGTGGGACATGTTTGGCTAATTTTATGAAAGTGTTTTTACTCATTATGATAGCATTTAGAGGAAGTTGGTTCAATGTGACTTTCTCTAAAAGTACTTTTGAAATATAAGTACTTTTAAAAATTAGTTTTTAAACAAAAATTATGGTAGTTTGTGTCAAAATTATTTTACAGAAAGCAAAAGTCGAAGCAAAGGCCATGTATTTTAGTAGGTAAATTAACATCCCAAATGGTGAAAGAATGGTCGTTAACCACCCCCCCCCTCTGCGGTGGGAAACGTGTAGGAAGTTTTCTTGCCAAACGGGACTTAAATTTAGATGTGGAATCAAGCAATAGAGAAGCAATTATTGTGGCATCATCTAATTATAACCGAAAAAGCAAATGCTACTCAACGAACGAAAATGAAAGCAAACACAAAAGCACTTTACAACATTTTTCTGATTAATATATCAACATAAATAAATCAAGAAATTCAAAAGTATTGTTATCCACTCATGATTTCCAGGCACATTAGCATATTAAAACAAATACTGCTACTTCACACTATTTTCTGGTCACAGCATGTTTTTAAAGAGCGCTCGCAGTCAAAATCAAATTTTATTATCAATCAATTTAGAGTCGACTACATATTATCTTAATGATTAAACAGTAATCACCAACATGCATTCACTCAGAGCAAACACGCATATTCAAAATGGTTATCCCTCTGTAAGAGAATTACGTTCACTAGTCGTCCCAAAAATTTTTACTATAATAAAAGGAGATTAAAAGATTTTTCACCCGATTCTCTATACAAAAACGTCTCCTTCACCAAAACAAAAAGAAAAGAAAAGAAAAGGAAAAACTTTATATATGATAAGAATATTAAAGTGACCTAATACATGTACAATGCTTAATTAAATATTTTGAGATGATCTACAATGAAGAAAAAAAAAAATTGTATAGTAAAATTAAGTTCCCCACAATCAAAAACTACTTGAGTAATCCTTGTGGGGTTCTCACTCCACAACTATGTAATAAATAGGGAGTTGTGCTTAGCTTCTTTTCTTTGTGCCAAAGGTAATTAGCAGAAAAATGGGTGCTCTTGACTATCTCTCAAACTTTTGCACTGTCACCAGCACTGGAAGAAGGAAAAGGAAGCCATTACAGGTACTCATTACATACAACCTGCACCAACACTTTTGTATCACTTGCTGTCTAAGTACACACACACACCCATGTGGGTCTGTTTGTGTTAAATTTGCTCGAGTTGATTATTATGATTTTCCCTTATTTTTGTTTGCTTTTCTCTTAATTTCTCAGACAGTTGAGATCAAAGTGAAAATGGATTGTGATGGATGTGAGAGAAGAGTCAAGAATGCTGTCAAAAACATGAAAGGTGGTTTTATCATCTTACTCTACATGCATGTTCTTCACTTCTTGAAGCTTTTTTCTCTCAATTACTCTGAAGGTTTGTATCATTTTAAAATTAGGGTTTTAAAGCATTTGATTTGAAACTTGCTTATTTTGAAAGGAAGGGTTGATATCCAGTTTCATATATGTCCAGTCTCTATTAATGATGGTTGGATCAAGCAAGATATATGTCATCCAACCCCACCCGAACTCTTTTTTTCGGCCTATTCGACTCTCTAACCAACATCAAATTTAGTTTATTGTAGTATCGAGTACAATCTCATATTGTGCCACACATGCACTTCCTTTACGATCTCATACAATATACTATTTCTTGCTCGCACCTTCTTAATTATATATGTTTTTTAGGTGTGACAAACGTGGAAGTTAGACGGAAGCAACACCGAGTTACGGTGAGTGGCTATGTTGATCCAAACAAGGTGTTAAAAAGAGTGAAGAGCACAGGAAAAAGAGCTGAATTCTGGCCTTATATCCCTTACAATCTTGTTCAATATCCTTACGTATCCCAAGCCTATGACAAAAGAGCACCATCTGGTTTTGTAAGAAACGTTGCACAAGCTGTTCCTGTGCCGAATGCATCTGATGAAACAATCACATATCTCTTCAGTGATGATAATCCCAATGCTTGTCACATTATGTGAGGATTGTTCATGTAATTCTCGAGTCGAGTCGAAGAAGATGACTATTTTTTTCTTTCATCTTTCATGTCGAATATGTATTTGAGGTATATCTAATGAATTATCCGACACAATGTTTGTTTTGCACATTTTTATTTTTCTTAATCCTATCGAGTGCTATATAATCTAGAGGATTGAGGGACCTATATTTTATTTTAGGGAATATGTTACTTATACATAATATGATGTCCATAATAGTGTTCATCCCCCTCCATATTGGTGAAAGGGTGGACATCGTTATGGACACCTCAATGTATATGTAGCATAACCTTTATTTTAATTAGTTACTGAACTTGGTTTTTCTTTCAGTTTAATCACTTCGTTAAATTTAGCTCTTGTTTGTTATCCTTTAAAAATTTAAATTGTTTGTTATATGATCATTTTCCATCACACATTCACAATAAAATATTTTACACACAAACCAATAAAATTTCCTTACTTTTTAAATATGCATTTTTCAAAAAATACTATTCAATAACTCATTATTCCCAAATAAATTCCATCAAAGAAACTCTTTACATATTTTAAAATGACTAAACTGAAATGAATCGGCAACTAATTTGAAATAAAATGAAGTGTGGTGACTAACATGAATTACACTTTACTCTTGAGTGACTAACTAATTACGTTTTTAAAACCCTAACATTAGGTGAGTGTTTGTTAGGAATTAAAATATAAATTTTAATCTAAATCAGTTTCAACAAATAATTTTATTTACATATGTTTATCAATTTTTATCGAAATCTCTACTAAAAACTTGATTTTAATCCTCGCCAAATAGGAGTTGTATGAATTATTGTATCTATGATTAATTGAGCACACGACCCTATGTTTGGCATTACTTTTTCAAATATAGCAAAGAGGGAATTCAAAATGAAGATACTAAAATTTTTTAAGTTGTTGCAATAGAATATGATTCTTGTTCTTCCCTTAAAGATGGGATTAAAGAGATTACCATTTACACTAACAGAACTTGTTTAAGTATTTAGAACTTGTTCTTCCCTTTGAACAAATATATTTCATTCTAACGTATAAACTTTTGATGAAAAATGCACAAGTTTGGAAATATGCACATATTTAGCTTTTGATGAAAAATTGAGTCTGACGTATATGTGAATGATCATTATGATGAATACTAAATTTAAATAAATAGATGTGTTGTTTTTGTAGTAATTTAAACTTTTAGACGAATGAGGATTTAACAATAAGATTTAAAGAACATATTTTATCAATGAAAATCTACAATTAGCTGAAAGTAGTAGACGTAAAAATGTACATTTTCAATTGTAAAATAAATCTAAGTACTCTATCTAAGTACTCTTTTTCAAATATTGGAACTACTCAAACCGAGCACGAGAGATTATTTTTTGATTTATAAGAAGCACTTGAAGAATTAGTAGCTAGTTGTCAAATATTTAGGCATCACCTAAATATGTGAAGCAATATTAAGTTGGTATGGTGTTACATTTTTCAAATTATCAAAATAGAGCTTTTGAAAGACGCAAGTAAAATTTTCTATCTTCGATAATAATTATTTTATGTACAGCTCATTCCAACATAGGAGTTCCAAAATTTCTAAATTTTTCCGATTGACAATTATTGAATTATGCATGACAATTTCCCTTGCAGTTTCATCGGCGGTTTGTCAAATTTCCTTTTTAATGTTTTCCTCAAATTCTGGCTTTAATCAGAATGGAATGATGTAAGCCAGCATATAATAAAAATGTTGGTATAATTAGAAAGCAACACTCATTTGGATCCAAGATCTTATCCTAAATCTTAAATATTATTTATATAAACTAGCTTTGGAAGATAATATCTAGCCTCTTCGATACAGATTTTCTTGAAAGAATTCATATTCTATTTACTGATATAAAATAATTATTAGAAGCCGATTTAGAGGTCATTAGTCATGTTTTTTCGTATGTAAGACGCATTACGGTGATTCAAATTTTGTTTAGTCCGAACCCAAAAATTCGCAATGCGACATATATGGTAAAAGTACAATTATGAGAATTTTTTAGGGGTCAGTGGTAGACTGTGGAATTAGGCGTTTTATTATTTTCCCACGCGCACACATACATACATCTTTAATATAGTTTATTTTCGCCCCCCGGGGCATAGTCCAGTGGTGCAAAGGATAGGAGTAAGGTTATCTCACGCCTTACTAGCAGCAGCAGTGTGGGAGTTCGATTCCTTAGGCATGAAATTTGACTTCTTGTAAGCGCAGTGTACAGACAGTTCTTGTTCCCTGGCTTGTAGGAGCACATCTCGCGATTTACCTCCCTTACAAAGCTCTTGGGGCGGAGCGATGTGGGCCCTCAAGGTTGGGGTTCAACCTTTTTTTAATATAGTCGATTTTCTCCTCTCTGTCCTTAAATTTTTTTTTATCTAAGATTTTACGTAAATTTGTATGTTCTTGTTCTTATTTTTTTCATTACCTATTTTCTCTTCTGCATAACAGAAGCCTTTACACACACACACATTCAAAATCATTTAACAAATTGGTAGGGATCCATATTAAATTTTAATGAATATGTTATCTTTTACTAGAGTCACGATCAATATAAAGAGACATTATTACAGTAGAGTAGTACGATTGTCTTGAAAAACTCTTGTATTTATATCCATCTGATAAGGGTTTCTTTTCTTTTTTTTCCCCCCCAAGATACTCTCAAAAATAAATTTAGACGAGACGAGATTCAACTTATAACTTAAATAATTAGAGCACGCGAGAATTTGTAACAAAGTGTTTGAAATTCGACATACAAATAGAAATCCGCTTGTTATAAAATATTATAAATTTCCCAAATTTGATATGTGCCTTTTAATCTATTTTATATCCACTAACAATTTCAGGGAGCAATAAGTCAAAGAAACTTCATTATTTTGTGAAGCACCGCCGCTTCTTGGATTTAAATTACTTAATCAACTTAAAAGCTGCATCATGATAATGGTTACATTGGGATCTATAATGTACACAAAATTATTAACTTTTACAACATAAAGTTGTTCTATCTAATGATTCAAAAAAGATTATACATTTCGAAATGTGTCAATTTTAGGGCCACTTTACAGTAATGAAACCAACCAACAAAAAAACATTGATGATAGGAAAATATAATTATAATTCATTAGTTATTCCGCCTTTAATGGTTTCAAAGAAAATTGAGAAATGATGATGCCAACTCCCAAAAAAAATATCCTACTAGCAATATGCAAACATGTAGCAGTGAAAAATAAGTGTTCTATTTTCTTTGCTATGTTTTGTTTTGTCGATGTTTTAACTTTAAGTACTATTTTAATTATCAAATTTATTAGTCTCATACCATATATAAATGAGATAATTAGAAATATTTTGATTACATATAAAAAATAATTGCGTTCGATTGTAAGTATGGAATTTGCAAGGAAAGAAAATAAATTCTAGGCAATTCAATTACCTGGAACTTATTTGTATGGAAATTAGTAATTAAATGTGTTTGATTAATTTAGTTTTTTATTTAGAAAATATTATACATGTTCATTTTTTGTTGAAGGGTAAATGAGAGAGTGGATAAATAAGATAGAGAAAGAGAGTGAATTACCTGAAAAATAAAAATCATCTCTCTTTAAGGAAAATATTTTCCTTGTTTTTGAAAAAAATTTTGTGATCAAAAGTTGAAAAATATTATTCATGAAAAAATTTGTCAATCAAACACCCCAAAAATAGGAATTTGGGTGAAAATGACATTTTCATAAAAAATAAAGCTAATCAAACACCCATTTAATTTTCATTTTCTAAAACATCATAGTCCGAGAAAGTTAATAAACATGAGGATTTTCCATCGTGCATTACAGAAATATTAAGCCTTGTATGAGCGTCATTATTCTTTCTAAAAAAATAGTTTTGTAATATTAAATTTTTGAAGAATGTGTGATTAAAAAGTAGTAAAAAAATTTTAAATTTATATATAAATTATTTTATTGGGAGAATGTGCCGTTCAAAATAAATTTGACAAAAAAATGAATTTTCAGATAATGGGACACAAACATAAATACAGAAATATTTATGTTAGTAGCGTATCTTTAGGACATATGTAATAATTATTGTATTAAATAATAGAAATTTGCTAGAAAAACAGGGGCATGTCCCTAAATAATATTACGCCCTAAACGTGTATGAGATTTAAATTTAACTGCTCGAAATTTTATGCGAAATTGCCCCAAATGAGTCCCTAACCTGCCTTTAGTATGCAAATGGTTCCTAACATTTATTTCTTGGCACCGATATCCCTAATATATGTGTTTTGGTGAGAACTTGATCCTTACTTTTATATATATAAAAAGGCCAATATGCCCTTAATTTTAATTAGGAAAAATTGCATCTAGGTTCCTAACCTTTGGAAAAAGTACAAATGATCCAAACTTTTATTTTAAAATATTTAATATATCATTATAATCGTGTCAATTTAAGTTCTAGAAGAGGAAAAAAGTTAAATCACGTTCTCTAAGTGTACATAATTGCTTTTGTGATGTGAGAAACTTGAAAAAAAAAAATTAAGATAAAAATAGATGACATAGATTATAATTCTATGACCATCAACCAATTTTATATGTATTTATATTTAACATGAAAATAGTGATACAAGTTACTTATTCTTTATTTTCTTTATCAAAAGATAATTAAACAACAAATTAAAATATAAATAATATTGCATCGGTGCAAAACATTCTCTATTAACTATAATGTTTTGTTTTTAGGTTGTGTTAATGTTGTTTTTAATGATAATTAAACAATATTAATATCATTCAAGGGAAATTTGTGTTGAGATATGGTTGTTCAAAACTAACAAATCGAGTATGGAATGAAAAATGAGATTGGTGGCTGCAACATAAGCCCATGTGACTGCATGGACTATTTGGCCATGCATTCGCATGGGCATGGTCCAAAACTTGGAGGCCGGTTTTGGTATAAACCAGCGACGGTTGCATGGTGGTAAGTTAGTGATCATTAGAGGTCGTTTTTGTTTGAATTTTGGCGGCTTTTGGGATGTTTCTTGTAACTTTTCAGCACAGTTTTGACACCAATTCGTGTATATTGATTGAG